GCTGAGTTGAAGTCACCACACGCATGCATCCTCCCAGAAGCCTGGGTGTTCAAGTGTGTGTGTGTGTGTGTGTGCGTGTGCTGACGTCCAGACCATGGGCTGCGTTCCACAAATCTCAAGGGGTATCCTTGTCGTACTTTTCGTTCATCCCAACCAACGCTCCTGCTGTCGGCGCAGCATCGCCACCGGCGCGACCACAACCGATGCAACCTTTGCCGATCACAAGATTCACAAGATAGAACGCCCAATAGGTCCAGAGCACAACTCCATCCTTGATTTCTGAAACCGTAAATTTGCCGTGCTAGTGTTCCCACTGCGATCCACGTTTTTGTTTGTCCTGGCATTTCAGAAATGCTTGTTCGGAAAGGTGCAGCTGCTACACCTGCACAGTGGAGCGGTTCCAAGGGTGTCGTTAAGCCACCGCAGCCACCTGTGTCGGTGTCGCTCGGCTGCAGACGCGCAGGTAGTCTATACACGTGATCTTCACATGGTGAGCCTCGTAGCTTGGCGTGTGCGACGATGGGTTCTCATCTGCTGAGGTCCGGAGATGATCCCGAATCCGATCTCCTCTCCGCCCTGAGCTCCACTGCGCAAGGGTTTCCAGCAGGTCCGCAGTGTGCAGGAAGTTTTGCCTTCAGGCTGATGGTAACACATATTCCTTTCAAGAAAGTCGGTGCTGTGCTGGAGTTCCAGGCACGTTGGACATGGAGTACACCATCACCTGCGAGCTGCCGAGTGAGAAGGCCTGTGCTGCGCAAGATGTCGTGTTGCCCATGTGATTAACTCTGGTGTGATCCTGGGCAGTAATGATATGGCTGGTTTGTTGTCGTGAGCAATGCTCTACCATTGGCGTATCACAGCACCTGGTGCAGTTCAGAACCTCGATGAAGTCTGAGTGCTTCTGCAGGTTGGCCTCCTCATAGGCAAGCGCGGAGAGGATGTACAGCGTATCCGTCCAGGGCCAAGCTTCACCGGGGGATAGTGTCGATTTGTCATAGTGTCGAATATTAGAACTCAAGGCAAGACGACCGGAACCTACATCCACTTTGACCCGGCGCAAGATGGTAGCGATGGTCAGACCCTCACCATCAGGGGACCTTTGCTGAAAGTATACCGCGCCCATGCGCTGCTTATGAGAAGATACCACGAGACGCAGGCCGAAGCATCTGGGCAGCACCTGCTAGGGCCTGCAGTTAAGTTCTTCCATGTTCATCCGGACGGTCAAGTTGCCATGTTCCCAGGAAGCTCATGAAGCACCACACAATGGTACGAGTACGAATGGTGACAGCGATCAAAAAGTGCAGGCCCGACATGAATCCTGCTTTCTGCTGTTGTGTCGCTCCTGGTAGAAGCACTGGGCTTGCACGGATCTTCGGGTTGATGGGTTCATGTCATGCGCAGTGCTACGCAGCGCTGATTGCACAGAGCGGGTGCGAACTAGGCCGCTTTAGGTATTTGTTGTTGTGCCGTGCCTAGCGAGTGGCGGACGATAATTCAACGGTGTCACGCGACAAGAGTTCGGAGGTTGAAGGCTCGCAAATGTGATGCGTGTGCTGATTGTTGAGGTCAGATCTTTTGCATTTCGGATCATGCTGGCGGTGGGTTTGCACTGCACAAATCGACACTCAAAGTTCCAAGCTATCAATGAGAATCGTGGCGCCGGGTGCGGTGACATATTTGTTGAGAAGTGAGGCGCTGGAGGAGCAGCTGCAAGCCATGCAGCGGCAGCTGGCAGAAGTCAAGCAGCTGCAGCAGAGCAACACGAGTCTCGGCCAAGCTGCAGACGGGGACATCTTGACATCGATGACAGCCATGCCCCTTTGTGTGTAGGCGGATCCCTTCCTTCCGGGCTGTGTGGTATGTTCTGCCTCGGCTAAGGTATGCCGCTCCTGTAGCTTCTGCAAAAGGCCGCGGAAGCGGCAAAGGTTCAAAGAAAGGCCGATGAAGGACGAGGACTGCTGCAGAAGTCTTGAGTTGCCTCCCGTCCCGAAGGCCCAGGCACTATGCTGCGACTCGATTGAAGCCTCTCTGTGAAGGACGCCCACATGCGTCTCCAGAAGGGCTCTGAAGCTCGACGTCGGAACCTCTTAAGCGGTAACAGGCCGCCCTAGATGTACGTCACAGCTTGTTGGCATTGACACCGGCGGCTGTCATGTACTGGAGTCATCGAAAAGAAGGCCGTCTCTGTCAGTGGATGTTATGCTCTCTTAGTCTTAGTCAAGCAAACGGACCACACATAAGCTACGTAAGTTTTCAACCCCTGGCCCTACACGTAAGTGCGGTGACTGTGCAGTGCAACCTAGTCAGCGCAGCGGGTGGGAAAACCTGCTTAGTGCCGAAGCTCGCCCGGACATTTGTAGGGCAGAGGCAGCGTGTGGGACAGCTCACGACAAGGAGTCGTGACCACCCCTGACTGTGAGAGGCGCCAGGCCAGGAGTGGTCTCCCACGTTTCAATCCCTGACGGCTCCTGCGCTGGCAGGAGCACAGGTCCACCAAACGGAGATTAAGGTATGAGCATTTAATCGCTGTTTGCCAGTGTGGCGAAGAGTCATGGGCTTGTATGGCTACGCCGCTACACCTTCTGTCATTCTCTAAAAGGCACCCTTGAGCCTGGCCAATCCCTGCTTCGGCAGTGGCTGACCCAACGGTCTTGAAGCACCAGACGGCAGTACAAGTCTCACAGTTGGCGAATGTTGGCGATGCGCTTGGAGGTAAGGGCATCAGGGCGGAAACCCGTTGCGGCAGTGCCGCTCTCCAAAACAGTTGTGGGCTGGACTAGAGGAGAAGAGGCACAGGAGTCTTGAGAAATGGAGGCGCCTCGTACGCCCGTTCGAAGTATAATATCGAGTCAGGGGATGACCATCGCATCAACAACGTCGCCAAAAGCGAACAGTGCCATGCCTGTAAGGCAGTCCGGGGTAAGCGCTCGTGCAACACCTGGATAGTGGAGATGGTGCGTGCAGCTGGCAAGATGGACAGCACGTCTCGTTGCCATGGCGCTGAACAAAATGCAGTGCACACACATGAGCAACTTCCCAGTTCACTCGAATAACTGCAATTGTCACCGGGGCATTTCGTGCTGGGAAGGCTTCCAGACTTTGTTTTGTACCCCATTTTTGTTCCCATGATGACGAGTGGATTGAAAAAGGAAAATGGAGGTGCTCCCTGCTCCCAGCATGGTGACAATGGCATGCTGACAGTGTCGTGTACATCTGGTGATAGATTTGGTGTTCTGCATCTATGTCGTGGAATACCAGAGATGATGTGGTGCCATTGCATGTCAAGGTGGCGCTTCCCGCCCTTTTGGCATCCTTGTGCCCTTGCAATGTCGGTGTGCGGGCCAGGTCGTTGGTTTATAAGGGGGGGAGAGGAGGGTTAAGTTTGACCAATAAAACTAGTTAGTGCCCTACGCAGCCTGATCGAGAACCGAACGGGTTGGGCCTGAGCCACACAGCAATAGGCAGCTTTGCAGATCTTCTCAGAGTCGCAGTTGCGAGGCTCTTCCGTGCCATCTCGGGACTGGATGGCGAAGGCCTCAGAGAGCCTCAGTGGGATTGCAGGGCACTGCGGCACTAATTGTGCTGATTGCGAATCGCACTTTGGCAGATCTTTGTTCCTTTGCATAACCTTCCATGTCAGATATTGCGTTATCTCATGCTATCTCTTTCTTAAAAAAGCCCTTCCATGCCACATTGGGCAAATTGTTGACAATGGTCAGCATCTACATGTGCAATGGCTTTCGGCGCAGTTGTAGCCGCTGATCTTATGCCCAGGCCCTTCAACTGCGCTCACGACATCTACAGCTTGAGAACTCGCAGCTCACACAGTGGGGAACTCAATCAAAAAACAGGTGAAGAACAAAGGGCAGAGAAGATAGGGCTGCTGGTCGCTGCGTATCCGTCTAATCCAGGCGATGTCAGACTCTTCAGGCACGATGTCAGCAGCTGCAGCGCTTCGGCGGCAATGGCGTTTGCCTTCTTTACTTTGTTGGTTGCCAATCGCGACAGCACCGGCAGCTTCAGTATGCATGTGACAGTGGAACCAATCTGAATCTCCCCCCAAGCCCTAAAACGTGGCTTTCAATTGATCTGCGATGTCTCTTTGCACTTGCCAGGCTGAGTTCAGAGACCCACCCTCAAATTTCCCCCGGGCCATGAGCAGCGAAGAGCAAGCGAGTAACCGGTGAAAACCCATGTACAGCACGGTCAAAAGCACATTCGGCAAGGTGCCAGCGCATGGCTTTTGAAGAGCAGCTGGAGTCGGCACAGCGAGAAGATGCTTGTTTGCAAAGGCTTCGATAACGATAGGCCTAGTCACACTACGCTGGTAGCTCAGATTCTCTAGGTTTGGCTGATTGTACAGCGACCGTATTCCCTGAATAGAAGACTTGACTTCTTCCGTCGCCAGTGGTCCCCAGAAGCCTGCTTCGGTGCGTATCAGCCTGAGGCACGACGCTTTGAGATGGAAGTGAACTTTTGGCGCCTTGGCGTCGCGCAAGGCCATTTAAACAGGTCTTAGCCTTCTTGCCGGTACGGCAAGTCAGACGTCCCGGATGCTGTCCTATCCAGGACTTGCAAGAAAGCCCGACTCAGCCAGACCATGAGGAGTGTAATTAACAGAGACCCAGAGGCGAGAAGGTCATTCAGAAATAAGGGTTCATTGCAGTTGTAACTCATGTGAACAATACGTTCCACTTAATTCGCAACTGTAACCCAGGCATACCCAGGCTAGTGTGTTATGCTGGTACTGGTGCGTCGAATTTGCCACAACTTGTTGTGTGATCAAGACAAACAGCTCGCAAACATGGTTTTCCTCCTTCGTCTTGACATAAACTCTTGTCGGTGCAACAACGGTGTAGTCATTCCTGTCTTTGCCCTGCGACACAAGCCAAGCTCAATGGCCACAACCCGGTAGCTCTCACCATGGTGGAATCTTGCTGCAAACGTTCACAGGCTGTATTTCTGAAGTTGCACCATAAAAATTGCCCATGCATGTTTTTCTGTTGCTTTGCATCGCCCTCGCACACCCGACAACAGTATTTTAGGGTGAACGAGTACAAGATGAGTATACAGCTGTAAGCACAGAGGATCAAATCAAAACAACAGTCAAGTCAGTTATAACTCATATGCCCATGAAAGTACTTTCCGTGATGTCGGTCACGTTGACAGGGAATAATTGCAGCATTTCAGCAGGAAGCCTTGATGTCCTTCAGTGGCTCCCATGCATACACCAAACAAGACTTTCTACCGGCAGTGAATCCCATCGAAGTCTGACTTTGCCCGACCGTGCAGCTGTACAAAGAGTGATCAACTCGCGAATCGGATCGGAACGGGTTGAGTGAAACAGCGCAACACCGATTCATAAAGTTCGGCAGGCATCGTTTGCATGTGTGTCTCTGACAAGTTCTTGGTTGCAGCGCCGAAGCCCTTTCCGTTTACCGACCCTGCTATTGATTCAATGTGCGTGCGGCCTTGGAATCAATATCGAACGTGGCCGCGCCCAAGACGGGTTGAGTCACGCAGGCCGACAATGACAAAGCTTCATACATCTTCACACCATTGAAGGATGGTCCGATCGCCCTGCACATAAAAGTCCGTTCGGCTTGTCTGCTCTGACGGATGCTTGTACTGGGTGCTGGACGAGATTCACATTCAACTTGATAGCCGACAAGATGAGTGCCTTCCCCCCACCTGTATCATTGACCAGATTCGACACACATCTTCGATTTAAGAAGCCATTGGGCGTGCGGGGAAGGTGTCGCATGGCGTCAGGCTTCTTGGTCCAAACTACCAGTAGTCGGAAGCTGATTTTGCTGAGTTGTGCCAGAAATGGAGGAGAAGTACGGCATGTATACAACCAAAAGAAGAAAGACACACAGCTGGATGAACGTAACGATGAACAAATACGCATACGTCCAGAGTTATTTGCACACAAATGTACAGACAGGCGGGCAGGCAGGCAGGCAGAGACAGAAGACTGACAGACGGACAGACGAACACACGCGCACGCGCACACATTGTATACGCACACATTCATGCACGCCGCATATATATATATAGATAGATGTAGATACATGCATACATGCATGCATACATACACGCATACACAAGTGCGTACGTACCTACTTAGCGCAAATAGGCACAAAAGCACGAATGTACAACAGATCTACGCATGAAGATTTGTTAGTAATGTCTGCTGGCAGCATGTCGAAGCCAGCTGTCGCCATGGCGTTGTTCCTCCCTATGCTTGCTGCCGCCGCGGCAAACGAGCGCCATGTACTGGTGCCGCGTGTGGTGGTAGTGACCGCCTTCCCACCGGAGTTGGCAAGGTACGAGTCAGCAACACTCTGAGTCGGGGGAGCTGTGTGCGAGCATGCAGGGTACAAAGCACCACTGTGCAGATGTTCAGAGATTGGCCCTGGAACCGGAGGTGGAAAGCCCGGTTGCCTTTGGATGACGAGCTCCCTTTTCCAGGTGCTGTTGGCTACGCTCCAGCTTCCGTGAATGTAGCCATGCACCCTGCATGTCATTGACAAAGCCAAGCAAGTCGCACTGTGAAGGGTGCACACACATGCCTCGCAAATCAGGAGGGGCTGGTCTTCAGAGTCTCGCTTGGAACGGACCCTGGATTGCATTAAGAATGCTTGAGCAGTTCTATCTGAAGCGTCAACGTAGTGTCTTCATTGCAAGTTGATGGCCTTCTTCCGAAAATATGATGTTCTCTCGTGACCGCGGAGTTCTACTCGACATTGCGCGAGGTTCCCTTCAAGTGCTGGCAGGGGGCCCCAGAGGAGCTGGTCCCATACCTGGGCCCTGCTGTGCTCGACTCAGGCCATGGTCACCGGCATGTCATCGAAAAATGCGTCCTTGTCTGTGCTCTTGGATAAAATTTGCTTTGGGAAGTTGTGCTTTTGCAAGTATGGAGATGTTTGCCAAGAAGGTTGTCAACTTCGGGAGGGAGACTGCCTGTGTGCGTGCGAGCGCTTGTGGCGTCGTCGAATCCGAGGTGACTGCCCTAGGCTATGATCCCCGCTTCGATTTGACTGCAGCCACATGGCTTCTTGCAGGCATTGCGGGCACCTTGGACTGCATTTTGCCATATCTTGCTCGAGGTGGCAGCAACATGTGTTGCAATCTCCGTTGTTCGTTTGCCCAGTCGTTGAGCCCAACATACCGTTATAATGGTTGGAAATAATGGTTGGAAGCGGCAGTCGTCACAGGTGTGGACCCCATGTTCGGCACAGTTGGTGGAGTCGCATGGATGCAGCGGCTAGTGGATGGTACCGTTGCCAAGTACCTCAACGAAAAGGACATGCCGCAGGCCGCCCATGTGCAAAGACCTCGCTCGGCGTATTCAGACAATTCAGACTTGATGTCGAGTGTCACAGAAGGGACGGCTGAGGCCAAGGCGTCCAATGCAGCATGATGACGTAGTTACACAGTACTAGGTGGCAGACGTGCGTATCAGGTGTCGAACCGACGGGCCCTGCTCTGCTTCTGCTGCCAAAGTAGGATGCTGGGAGCTGGCAGCTAGTGCGCTGGCCTCTGGTCAAACAAGTTGGCGTAGCACCTGCAGCTAGAAGCAGTTAACAGTGGCATCGTTTTCAGCAGGCCAGCCCAAGAAAGGAACAGTCAAGCTGGTAGATTTGTGCGCACGATCCCGGCGTAGTTGTCTCGAGGACGCAGATACTCGGGTAGAACATGGTTAATAAACCACAGAGGGAACATCCAAAAGGGGTGGAGTGAAGTTGGAGGCGACCTGCCAGACAGAGAATGAATCGCAAGATAACCGATCAAAGACCAGCAGGTTGCCGCAAGCCTGCAGGGGTGCAGAATTGCAAAGCTCTATCTCAGCTTTGCTTGGAGGACTGGGAAACAGGCTGGATTCCCACGAATCGAGATCGACCTTACGGCTTGCCTCCCCAGTCGCCGGGGGCGCGGGCTGGTTCGGTGAAGGTGCTGGCTCCGAGCCTGGTGCAGTGCCCTGGCGTTAATGGCAAATGTCATTGTGTCCAAGCAGCGGGCGATCCGAGCTTCCCGACAGCTTTTCAGCTGCGTTGGAGTCAGTCTGAGTCTGTGTTGATTGGTGACAATGCACCCGGTGGGTTACAGGATCGGAAGATGAACATTGAGTAATGGCGGCATCATGCAGAGCTTGTTTTCGTCGGAATGCCAGGACCACCAGGAACTTCTTGCAACGTCTTTTCGCACGCTGTCGAGTTATAAAGTAGCAGGACGGACGAGCACACGCACAAAAGCGAGTGCGACCTAGGTGTTGCGAACCATTGTCCCATCTGGAGTTGGAAGCATTTTAGTGGAATTTGCTCCATCGGCTTCAGCATGCCTGAGTGTTCGAGGGAACAGAATGCAGCCATACCGTAGTGGGTGACCGTCATGCTTGCCGACACGTAGTGTCAAGTGGACCTCAGGTGGGCGCATAACCTTACGCAGTTTCTGAAGCTGCCAGATCTGGAGGCCATGCCAGAGCTGGACAACGAGCCAGCTGTTACACATTTTGTATTGACTGTTGGCACATGGCCTTCGGACATTGACTCCAGCAAGGTGCTCCTCCGGTCTGAGTGTAGGCTCTTGAGTGAAACTGCGTCCGGCTTGTGTGTTGCTGCAGGAATTCCAGCATGTGCGCCGAAACTACGCCCCATGCTGCGCAGCAGCTACACAGGCTCCTTCCATGCAAATCTGCAGATGCATATCCACCTTGGGATTGGAAGATGAGTGTCGCCAAAACGTTGAGTGGGGTTACAACATGCTCACTCCTTGTTCGGGGTCTCCTTGCGGATCATGATGCACTTGTTGATGCTGCTCTTCAACAGGATGTCTGGACGGCTGCTGCCGATGTTGTAGTACGCTGTAGTATAGTTAATAGTGCAGACGGAAGCGCGGCCCTGAGACGTGGCCCATGAAACCTCGTGGACTCACTGGGCTCAGCTGTGAAGCTGCACTTGCCTTGGCGGCTGTATGTCATTGTATGTCCACGTTGAGTTGATTCATACACACTTTGTCTTCATGTGGGTTGATCAGACACATGGCATGCAGCAGTACACCGCGGCCGGACATACGTTGACATCGTCTTGTGCTGACTTGTGTGGCTACCCACAGTTTGGACACATTCCTCTCACAGTTATGGTATTGGCAACCAGTGACGTCATTGAGCTGCGCTTCCGACTATCCCACAGTATGTGAGTGACCACCACTGACTAAAGTATGTCATGTAATTTGAATTCGTACCTGATGCGTTTTCGACGCGTAGTGTACAAGTCATCTAGATCAGTAGTACCACTTCTTTCGTTTCATACACGTGAAATCGTCATGTATGCTGATCGCTTTAAGAAAATGTCGTCTGGGTGCTCTTCATGGCCTCATGCCGTGGGGTCCAGCGAAGGAGTTCCCATTACTATCCAACACATACTACGTGACTGCTAGTCTGCTATTGTCTTCAGATGGCATGCCAGATTTCCCAGCTCTTGGCAGCTTCTCAGTCGACTTCTTTCAGCGACGCAG